ATTATCAAAACAAAAATCAAATACTGATACCAACTGAAGAAAGAAAACCTGATATTTTCATAAAACAACGCCTTGCATTAATAAACATACGTAAATACATAATAATGATTATCTAAGATAAAGTTAAGGAGAGCGTTCAAAGAAAATACATGTAAACAGGTAATTAGTTCTAAATAAAATTCTAAAATAATTTTAGATTAGCAAGTGCTGCAGTAAAAACATTGGTTATTAAGATCGTATCCAAAAAGATGCATTGAATTGAAAGAATGAGTAGTGTTGCTTAAAATTGTTATTTGTTTTTTTGCGATTATACAGCTACAGTGTCAAGGTTATATAAAACCGTATATACACGTTTAACGTAGTTAAATTTACGTTGTTAAAATTTCTTGTCGAATGTGTAACAAGCGACTTGAAAAAGCATTTCGTTTTACCACTCCTTCGTATTATTTTGCATAGTATTAGAAAAGATTCGTTACCTGGTTGAGCTAATGAAAAATGCTTAATATTTATCACGAGACGGGAAATGACGAGCATCTATCCATTTATTTGGAACAAATGGACACAAGGCCTTCAGTCCGATTTATCAATAGTTATCAATAACAATTTATGATAAAACATTAAAACATTTTTTAAATGGGTGATTTGCGATTATAATCGAGACGAACGAGATATTGCTTTAAATTCATGAGTTTGAAAATAGGAAAAGAAAAAGAAAAAGAAACCAAAAACACTTTATTATATTTAGAAGTATATATCATCAAACTGAAAATACAGATACTGTAGCATTCCCAGTGAGAGATAAGACAGCGTTCCTATCTTCACATAGAATAAATACAGAGGACAAACCTCTTTCTACCTTGAAATTTTTGTTTTACGTCATTGCCTCTTATAGCTTTGTGAATTAACGAGATTTTCATGACCTTCAAATTTCTTTACTTACTTTGATGACTTGCAGGCTCTAAGGATGAAGAAGTTGTTTTTAGGAACTTATGTAAATAATTTAAAGTAAGTTTAGTTTAAATGCTTCTGTGGATTTTGTTTCAAGTATTGAACAATAGAGATAACAATTAAATAAGCATACGTTTTAGCATCGTTAATCGTTAAATCCTGTGAAATTTGAAATTGGTCTCTTTGTGGAAAATTTAGTAATCCAGGAAAACCAGTTGGGTAAATCAATCTCAGAGATATGATCACGTGTTTAAATTAGCCTAATACCACAAAGACAACCAAGCAAATTATTGATTTATTTCTCTAGGAAAAATATAAATAATCATTCTCTTACGTGAAGCATAAATTAAATTTATAACATATAATTTTTCTGAACACACAAAAACCCTATTATAGTAAACGTTTTGACTTTGTCACTTAATGTAACTTTTTTTAAAGGGCATGCTTATCTTAGGTTCAAGCTATATTGGGGTCACGGTCACAGCCATTGTTCCTTATAATGGCTTATATGACACAATGATATCACAATTAGCTAATAGGTTTCTCGACAAGGTATTAATTATGGGAAAGAACCAGTCAAATAAGACATTTAAAATAAAAATGAGATTTGAATAAATTTCAAACGTCGAGACATAAAAACTATCTGGCACTTTTATGGCATTTTTTGTACAATCATGACATTTTATTACTATAAAAATAATGCGGGATTGTTGGTATTATCTAACCGATACGCAAACATTTCTAAGTGATTTTAAAAAAAAACTTATGTAAATCACTAAAACGATTAACTTAAAGATATTTTCTGACCTTTGGTAATTCTTGCTAAAACTAAAAAAGGTGACAATTTATTTTGTTACTTCATCGGAATTACTTAACGGATTAAAAGCTAAAATTAAAATAACTTTTCACTGTTGAAGAAATCTTTAAATTTGAGTAAATCATCTTGCCATGAAAATGCAATAAAATTGATTAAAACATACGTAGACAGAATGTATATTTAATGTGAGGAGTGAAAAATACTAATGCTCTTAAGTTTTAAATTATATGTGATATATTCAAGATTATTGACATGTCAATTTGTTATGATGTAATTGTCAATACCACATATAAAAAAAGTTTAGCTATTAAGTCTTACATAAGATACAGCATTTCTTGCTGATACTTTTTGATATTTCAAATTAAAAAGAAAATTATAAAAAATTAAAAAAAAAAATATAAATTTAAATTATATTTAAATTATAATTAAAAAAAATATTAAAAAACAAGATAAAAAAGATGAAACATAGGAAACTTTAACCATTAGGGCAAAATATGTCAACAATTGTCTTATTATAATAATATAGGGCACTTGATTTAAATGCACCATTTTATGTCTTTCAGTAAAAAGTAATATGAAAGCTTTTTACTTCACAAAAGTGATATTACTGTAAGCAATATTTCCATCACCAATGTCTTCAGTTAATGCCACTGATGTTGATTATTACAACTATTTATGACACTTCCTTCTATGTCATTCAAAAGTTCTTTTTTACTTTGAATGAATGACAAGCATGTAGGAGGAAATTGATTCTCCTTCATGTTTATTTAGCATTATAGCAGTTTATTGTTGAAAACCTCTTAATGTTGATATTTTGTGTTCATTGCAACTTAAAATCCATTTTCCATTATTTTATGAGCTGCTTTAAAATAGTCTTTCTGTGAGGCCAAAGCCTTGAATGCAATAAAATACAGGAGTATCTTTATAAACATATTGTCATGTGTAACTGGAAAATGGTCTTTTATGAATAATAGAAAAATACTGTAATAAGTGATTAACAGTTTTTGAGTTGAAAGAAAAGAAAAATGTTAAATAATGGTAACGTTTCCTGATGGCAAATGTATTTTAATTTGATATAGACTGAAATAGTTATCAGTCAAAACTAACATAATACATGCAATTTCACAAAATGTTTTACGTAATAATGACTTAATTTACATAGCTTGTTATTGAAGTTTTCTTTTTTTTACAAGACGTGTAGAAATGAAATGAAAAACGACGACAAGTATTATTTTATTCGTGTCTTGGTTTTCTGTTTAAAATCAAATAATATTCTCATTGAACATCTGCTTAAATATGCAAAAACGTAAAGCAAATTCAAAATGATGTATATAGCCGCTATATAAATTAAGATAAGTTAAAGTGTTAAATGTTTGGTTTTATTTTGTAATATAATGAAATTAATCTTAAACATGTGTTGCATCCATATGATTTTATTGAAATCTGGATATGAAAGATCAAATGACAGCAATAACAACAAAACGAGTTGTTGAAAATCTGTTCATGAGAGATTTACATAAATGCAAAATCTCTCACCCATGAAGCACGTAATACTCGAAATAATGGGATGAATGATGACGAAGGACCAGAAAATGTAATAACACAGACATGAAGTATAAGGCAACATTGTACAGCTGCCATATCACACCGTGTCAATTAAAATATTTGAAATAGCAATGGCAACATAAAACAGTTTGTTGAAAATTCGCAGACAAGATTTTATTTTACTGAGTGTATTCACATTTTGACATTTTAAAGGCAAAATCTTTACGGTCCTTAGCATCGATTAACGCCGTATTTAACCCTCAACACTTATAGTTTCTATTACCTCTACACGTATTTAAACATGTATACTATTATTAAAGGCCCATTATGCGTCAGAAATGACATTTTTTTATATCACTAAAAACCGCCTCCGTGGTCAAGGGGTTCGATCCCCGGGAGATGCTTTGGTAGTTTAGCACGGAGGAAGGTAGTCTAGTACTGGGGTAACTCTCCAGGAACGATGGTTAGGAAACTACCCGCCTATATGACTGAAATACTGTTGGGAAAAGCCGTAAAATCAAGTAAACAAACAAACAAACAAACAAACAAAAACTATCAATTTTTGGTATCATTTCACAGATTCTAACAAAATACTCATTTGGCATACGAATGTACGGAAGTCAACATAGTACTTTGCTTACATTTTGCTACCTTTAAGACACACTACCGCACGTTCAGCGCTACTTTCCTCAGCTGTTAACATCTAACATACTCTAAGACTATTATTAAAATATTATTTAACACATATTTGACATTTCTAAAGAATTTTAAAAATATGAATTTCTGAGGCATAATGTGCCTTTAAGTTTTAGTAAGGCTGAGACATAGACAGTAATGATTTAATAAAGATTGCTGTAAGTGTTTTTCTTATATTTTACATTTTGTGAAAGAGTTATGAATATGATATATTTTTCAAGACGCATGTATACTAATTTATTCATAAATTGTGTGTGCATGAAGTAGCGAAAATTAAAGTATTGTTTATTTTTCTCAATTTTATGGCCACATCAGTGTTATTTGTGCCGTGTTATTTACTTTGGGATCATATGCCGCTTTTAATGGAATGGCACCAACGTGTCTCAATGAGGGTTCCATGATAACAGCCTTATGAATACATTTACGGGTGCAATTACCACTACCGTCCATGAACAGGCTTAATCAAACCAAACCTGCAACATTTTTTACTTTGCCGTTTTGAGATTTCTTGAGGGATTCTGTTTTTTTAATTTTCTGATTGTTAATTTGTTTTACATCATATCAACTAATGAAAGATATTTACCCTTAGATAAATATATAATTGATAAATAGCATCTAATTTCGTTCTGAATTCAAATTTTACAGAACAAAAGATTCAAGCTCTAATTCACACATTATTTATTTTAATACTGTATGCTCGTCTGTATGTTTTCTTTTTGTAGTTGGGTTTTCGTCGCACCAACACATGGTCATATGCCGACTTTCTACCTTTATTGGTGGAGGAAGACCTCAAATGAACACAACATTTTTTTAGATTTTTGGTTTTACTTATTTAAAACAAAGTTTTACATTATTTTTATAACATTTATTTATACATTATACCCATATTTCAAGATATGAATCAACAAACAATACCTGAAATAACAAAAAAACACAACAAAAACAGAATATAACTCCACTTTGCTAGATTTCATATCATGGAAATCAACTTCTGTCAATACTTAGTGTAACCACCATTAGCAGCTAAGACAGCCTGAACATGCCTAGGCATGCTATTCACTAGTCTCTCACATAGTTCCACTGCAATTTCCTCCCAACACTGCCTCACATTCATCTCCAGTTCGTTAAGATTTGCACTTCGTCTTGTTTTAAGAGCTTTCTTGATGTCCCACCACAGATTATCAATCGGGTTCAAGTCTAGAGACTGAGGAGGCAAAACACTAAACTTCGAATTCCATTTGGTATTCTTCCATACTGTGACAATTCTTGCCCTATGACAAGGTGCGCCATCGTCCTGCAGCCAGAAATTACCTCCATAGCCCAAGTAGTGGGCCGATGGTACAGCACTATTGCCAAGAATATCAATGTATCCAACGGCATTAAGTTATCCCGCGATATGACATGGCGCCCCACATCATGATCCCCCCTCCACCAAATTTGAAAGTTGGCACCACACAATCATCTCAAAGCTGCTCACCATGCTGCCTCCTGACGAAAGTTGGTCCATCACTCTGAAACATTGTGAACCTCCACAAAACTGCCGACCAATCAACCCGTGTCCAAGCCATATGCTCTCTGGCAAATGCCAATCTCAGATTTCTGTGCCTCTGGGAAAGTAAAGGCTTTTTCTTGGCAACATGTCCAGTCAAACCAACATCCTCCAGTCGCCTACGGACAGTTGAAGTAGAGGAAGCTACACCAGCATGGTTCCATGATGCTGTAAGATCCGGAACGGTAAGCCTCCTGTTCTGAAGTGACTCTCGAATACGACGGCGGTCATCACGAGCATTGGACAATCTGGTTCTACCAGATCTGGGCAGATCAGAATGGCTACCTTGGTTGTTGTACCTTGTCAGAGCAGCATACACAGAATGCATGCAAGAAAATAAAAGAAATCTAAGTAAGACCAAGACAAACATTCAAACAAATCTCATTTCTAAGATTTCACAGCAAAAAAGTTACTTTGAAGAGAGACAATAAAATGGAGTGAGAGAAAAAACTTACCTTGAGCACCCAATTTGGTCTGCAATGTCTTTTGAAAATGACGCCTTGATCACGTAAAACCTTGATGGTGACCCGTTGTTCTTGAGTCAAAGCTACCATAATGACAATGTTGAAAACTTGATTTAACGTTTCCTTATATCCAAATAATAAAATGTTATTTCATTAAGGTTATGAAAAAGTGTCAAACTGGATGAATGTTTTATGGAAGAGATACTCTTTGCAATGATTTTGACCACCCTAAGAAAATACTTATTATTCTGACCCATCTTACTGTGTTACTAAATATAGAAGTTAATTGTAATTGTACTGTTGCAATAACAATTTATGTCTGAAAATGGTTTAACTTACAACCCTACAATTGCTTAAAAATGCGTATCTTTCGCTCAAGACAATGTTAGAAAGCAAATATCTAGTAAAGCCTTTATGTTGAAAGTAAAATTGAAATGTTCATGGCGTACAATCAAAAATCAGTAAGTACATTTTCTCAAGCTTCTATGTATTTTTATTAATTATTAGTGTATTAATTTCTCAAAATAGGTGGGAATATCTTACATTATAGCTATCGGATCAAATGAAGAACGAACCATAAAAAAAAAAAAAAAAAAATGACAAATTTGATGATTGATTTATAAACATCTTTAATATATATTTTTTTTGTGTTTCAACTCTCTTATCAAAACTAGTAAAAGAGACACCGCCCATGATATCAATGAACAGATATCTCGTTAGCTAGATTAGCTGTTTGGAAATTAATGAACAGTAGTTTTTCAAGAGATTAAATTATATCTCGTGATATAGCATCTGCATTAATTTAGTGTTTCCACATTGTCGATAATTTATAGAAAGTTCATGGATTTTTCATGAAAAAATATTAAGTTGTAAAACGCAAAAAAACTTAAAATAAAGCAATTTTATTTCTTATTTTCATAACATTTAAGTTGTTACGCGTAAGGGCACACCTATGCCGTTTACAAAACGATATAAAATAAACAGTGCCTTGTTTTCTGGCAATTAGAAAAACAGTTTATACAAAATGATAATGGGAAATACCATCCTTAGATTAAAATGTTACAAAAATAAAAAAAAATCACTATTTATGAAACAAAATGAGAAAAATGAACAGCCTGACCGGGTCCTTCACTCGGGACAATTAATCTTAACAGTGTTGTTGCACCGTAAAATCAAATTAACAAACACATACAAGGGTTTCACGAACTAATATCGGTAATTATGGCAGTAAATAACAAGAAATGATTGTAAATACATAAGTTAAATAGAGTTCCATTCAGTGCAGAAATACAAGTGACTATTATAAAAGCAATGTATTAGACACCATGATTGCACAATCTTTGACGTAAACATTTTTAAGAACATTAGATTTTTGTTTTTGAAATTTGATGGAAAGTTTAGAATTCTGAATTAATTTACTGTTTTTTTTCCCTAAGAATTGTTGATAAAAACATTTGTGAGAAACATGACATTCTCTGAAATTTCTTTCTTGCCAAATCATAAAATAAATGTTATATTTCAGGAAATACATTTTTATTTGAATAAGATATTTTAATGCCTTCCCAGTATGATATTTCTATACGACTGATTATTCTGATAGCAACAAGATTATTTTAAGATTTCCGTTCTTATCTGCAGTGATCCATTGTTGAGAGCAGAAAGTTTGGGCTTATAGTTTCAAGAAAATAGTAGTTGATGAAATATTTGTAATGTTTCAGCTTTACTAAATGCAATGCATTTCCAGCGCTCTCAAATGTTCTTACAGAAAGTAGGAATGTGATATAACATTGCAGGAAATTTGCAGGGAAATTAAAGAACACAATTAAATTTTATAATATATATTTTTTATAAAAGTGATTCATATTACATTATGTTTATATACATGTATCTTCACAATGTGGACACAATTGTGTGGAAGGAAGTAAACAATGTTTTGACAGAAAGCCTGATAAAGATGAGACTAATTCCACTAACAGAAGTACGAATGTATACGTGTGTATCAAGCTTTTTAGAGGCTTGAAGAAAAATTTGATAAGACGTTTAAAGACCTTGCACTTTTATTGCATTTTAATAAAGATATGGCAATAACTAAGACTGCTTTTATCATTAAATGTATATTAACAATTGAAGCTCATCGCATTAATTTTTTAAGATATTTTTCTATTTTCAGATTTGACTATATTTGTTTAGAGCCTATTCTTATTACCAATGTTGCCATGTAAATATTACAAAAAAGATAACTTTAAACACACAAACTCGTGTAGCCTAATATCATACCTGAAGAATTATGTAAAATACATTTGTTTATATTCATTTTTACTAAGCTATTTTTAAAATAAAACGTATTCCAATTTCAAAAATGATGACATAATGAATTCTCAGTATGCAACATTTAATAATTTGGTCACGGGTAAACTCATTTAGACAATGATCGACGGAATAAACTATCAAATACTGAATACAATGACAATATTTTTTATAACATTAACTTGAAACGGCAAATTTTTGCACTTCGGCACTTTCAAAGTTTTATTTATCGGATTTTAACTTACTACACATCCAGGAGATTGGTTATGCGGGTAACAAACTTTTATTATAAAATAAAATGTTCGGCATGCATAAGTGAATGTTTGATGTAGCGTCTTGCTCATAACTCTTATTTAAATAGACCATGTATACTAGCACCATCGAAATGATTCCACAACCATCTGCATTTTGCTGACAATTTGTTTGTACCACTCTGTTGCGTAATATTTTGCAACCTAAACGTTAAATGCACATTATCTGTTTTCAATACATTTGCAGTTTCCGATCGCAACGGAGGTGAAGCATTCTATTTTTAGTTAAGTGAAAACATATGACTCCACAAATAGTTTTGAAATATCTTGATGTTTTTGATCTGTTTATGGTATCATCATAAACTTTATCTGTGATAATCATTATTAAATATTTACTGAGACATTTTATACCATTGCAATTTTATGATACTTTCGATTAATGTCTTATACACGTGCTTTCTATCGTACATTTGTTAAATAATAGAAAATTGTATCACAGTTTTGGGGCCTTTCTGTTGAAAATGTGTCAGAATTAAATCGTATACATATACCTGCACAGTGTGGTTACTGGAATGCAGGTATTAGTTACCCGCACTCTAGACCAATCCAAATGATTGGCTCATTTTGTCTGCGGTTTACTTACTTTGATGACGGAGAAATTTATAGCGATAGAAATATAATAGGTTGCAAGCACGAATCGCGTGATTGCATGATGAGAACTAAGCGTATTTTGTACAAACACAAATTGAAACAAATACGATTATTTTATTCATCTATTAATAACCCAAAATATGTACCCCCCTTAGTGGCCTTACAGTTATAATGCAGAATTAAAAAAAATTGATTGATTGATATGCAAACCATTGATTTAATTGAAATGTTATGTAATAGGCAATTCATATTTTTGAAAATACTACTAATAATAATACTAATAATAATAATAATAATAATAATAATAATAAAAAAATGAACAAGTTATTTTCTCTTATCAAACAGTTATAAGATACAGATCAATTAAACATTAATTGATATCATCATAAAAGTAAGCAATGTTATAGAATGTCTATGCACATACGTTATAATGATTATTGCAGATATAGTTTATGATGATACCACAGAACAGATCAAAGACATCAAGAGTTTACAAATACTTTGTTACACAATCAAATTCTAAAATTAGTTTCATACAAGAAAATGCTGTAACATATAAAATAAACTATTTCAGGCACATGTGGTATCAAATGTTTTAACTAACCTAAAAATGGAATATTTTATCTCGATCTTTCGTTTGTTGCGATCAAAAGTTGCTGATTTATGTATGAACGTCGTAAAAATAACGCAACGGAGTGGTACAGCACGAGTGTAACTACGAAGGACATACAAAAGACTATAAATAATTGTCAGCAAAATAAAGATAGTAAATGTGTTATTTCAATGAACAATTTCAGTGATGTAACACTAAAACCTTGGCAATAAGCTCCCTTGTACTAGTAGACATGGTCTATTTAGAGTTTTGAGTAAGACGCTACATTAAACATTTACTCATACATGCATTACATTTTGAGTCAATGTAAATGTTGTCTCTCGCATTACTCATCCTTTTAAGATTTAATAAACTACTGATTTTCAACAAATGAAAACTTAGCAAATAAGATAAATTTGTTGAAATAGTAAAATTTTATAATAACATCTAAAATGTCAATGTACAAAGAGATGCAGCTTCAAGTTAACATGATAAAAACCCAAGCTGTTTGAATTACAGTGTTTAAATGATTGTATTATTGAGTAAATTGTTGAATGTTAGATGATGAGCATTGACTATATAATCATTTTAAAATCGGTATACTTAATCATGTTTTAATAAAAGCTTAAAAAAGTAAAATAAAGAAATATTTTGTCATTCATGTAATTCTTTAGGTATAATTTTAAGCAAAACGAATTTTGTATGTTTAAACCATCATAATTGATAATTAAGCAAAATTTTATTAAATATTGACATGCAAGCTTAGATAAAAAGAATTTGCTTTTAATTAAACAAATATTAATAATAGTAAAGTAATAAGATGAACAAATCATTCCAGAAAGATTATGTGATGAGTTTCTTTTATTGCTATTTAAATGTTTTAGCATATGCCGTATCTGTATCAATGAAAGTGCTAAATGTTTAAACTTCAAATTTTTCTTTAAGCCACTGAAAAACTTCTGTCTGTGTCAATTAAAGCAATTGGACAAAAAAGTCCCATTTGTATCTGACTTATCGATAAGCATGCAGCATAATATAATTGTTTACTTCATGCCCACACAAT